AGAGTGTGTATTAGCAGGCAACTGACTCTTTTAGGTGCTGGGAAGAAACTTGAATGAAGCGAGGGCATGAGCCCCACATGCAGGTCTGGCTGTTGCACTTTCTTGCTAATGGTGCTAGAATTTTCCTATCAGGTCTTCAGGCCTCCAGTGGTAAGTGGTGTTCCTTAGGATTCTGTTGTTTTCTGCATTATTAAGCAATTTTCCTTCCCTGCACTGGCCCTTTGCTGTGTCTTAGGTTTCTAACCCTGTTGACCCCTCAGTCTCTCTGTGTTCCTGTTCAAACCATATCACATTCACTTTTGTTGTTCTTATTCCTCCGGAAGCGTCATGAGCTTTCCTCTATATTTCTTCTGCAGAACTTTCATGCTCTTTATTCTGGAATCAGTTCTCACAGTCCACAGTCTCTTCTTCCTCGAGGCTTTGAATTTCTCTGAGTATTTGAACTTGTTTGAGGACAGCTGATCCTTCTGTGATACAATCTTCCCACTCGTGACTCTGGTCCATTTCTCTACATCTTCCATTGGCTTCACCAAGGCAGTTTGGTGACTGTTTTCATAAAGGTGTCCTAGGTAGAAAGTGCTAATGTCACTTTGTCCTAAGTGTAGTTGAGGATGATTATTCATTTCCTTTGCAGCTAAGGATAAATCAGAGAAAATCTTCGCATTGGCCTTTGTGAAGCTGATGAGATATGATGGGACCACGCTGAGAGACGGGGAGCATGACCTTATTGTCTACAAGGTACTCACATGGGCACTGGGACACTGGAGCCACTTATGTGATCGGTCTTTTGCCACTTCCTCACCTGAGCCCAGCTGTTAGTTTTACATGGCTATGACTACATACCTGAGGAAAACAGCTCAAGGGAGGCAGGGTGCATTATGACACAGATGCCAGTGCTTTCAGTCCTTCAGAATGTAGACGATGTGATGGGGCAACTCACACCCTGGTGGCCTGGAAGCAGAGTGAGAGAATACAGTGGAAGTAGACTTTCTCTTATTCCATTAGGGTCCCTGATCTTTGATGTACTTGGTTTCAGGTGGTAACTTTTCTCTCACAGTTAATTCTCTGTCACAGACACACTTAGAGGTGTGCTTTACCAAACTCTGATAACTTTTCACTCCAATCAAGCCTGTGATCAAGATGAACATCACAGCTGACATTGCCCACCCTGGGGAGAGAGCTGCTCTCTAGCACTGAGCTACATTTAATTATGCAAATGAGCAGTTATGATGACCAGCCCTTTTGCTGTTCCTAATGAGAGCAGATGACAGGCAATAACACATTCGGTGCTATATATGAAGGTTGGGAGTGTGATCCAATCCACAGGAAGGGGGAAAATACTCAAAGTACACTGGAGAACACAGCATGGAGGGTTGTGTGTGAGGGTTGAAAGGAATTGGCACAATAAAGCATGCAAAACCTCGATGAGTGTTGTTTGATGTACTGTACAATCAAATCCACAGGCCGAAGCCAAAAAGCTGGAAGATGCAGCCACATACTTGAGCCTCCCTTCTACCAAGGCGGAGTTGGAAGAAAAGGGCCACTCGGCCACAGGCAAGGGCATGCAGAGTCTTGGGAGTTGCACCATCAGCAAGGACTCTTTCCAGATCTCCACACTGGTGTGTTCCACCAAACTGACCCAGAATGGTGAGTTCTAGAAGTCCTCCCTCTCTATCTAACACATCCCTCTTGGCTGCTTGCTGAGTGGAGGAGTTTGCCGTGGGTGCAAGGACGTCATTCACTCTGGCCTTTGAGAAGGACCCACGTAGATATCAGTGCACTGAGGAAAAGGAGGTGGCATCCGTCAGTCATAGTTTAAAATTCACGCTTCTATTTTGGTCTGAGGATTAACTCTGCAGGGAGATTAAACAATGAAAGGACTTATTTTTATTTTTAAACTTGTATTTATTTGAGGTGTGTGTGTGTGTGGGGGGGCGACAGGGAGAGGACCAGTTACAGGAATTGGTTCTTTCCTTCTTCTGTGTGGATACTGGGACTCGAACTTGGTTTCTTCAAGCTTGTTGGCAAGCAGGATTACCCACTTTGCCATCTTGCCAGCCCTGGAATTCTTCTTTGAGATACATTCCAGACAAAAGAAAGAAACCTGGCATCAGGGAAGGTATATAAGATTTGAAATCAGATCCAAGAATGCAGTTGAACCTTGATCCTATTTTAACCCTTGAAATGACATTGAATAAAGGTCCTCTGAACCTATGTGAATAATGCCTACTTCCAGAGCCTTCTGACCAGCTTGTAGACTGTCTGGTGCAATGTACCTTCCTTTTTTTTTGTGTCTTTCCCTGTCTTAGATTCTCCTTGAGATAATACCTGGTTATCTTTTTTTTTTTGTTTTGGAGAAAGTTGGTCTGCCTGACACCTTCTAGGCTCCTTGTGTTGTGAGATAGGGACTCTTTGCTGATTCATGTCCACTCAGCTCAGCCTAATGTGGCAGGTCACTCATCAGTGGGTTCCTCTCATCCTTGGGCTGGCTCATCTCATTTCCCACAGCTTGTAGCCTCCCCAGAAACAGCAGTCCGGCAGTGACACTTCGTATTCAGAGCACACCAGTGCTGTTGCCGTGACTCCGTCTGGAGGAGGCAGAGGCTCTCCGCACAAATCCTTCATTTAAAAACCGCATCCTCCTAATGTGGCCATATCATAGCTGTGCAGAGACTTTATGCTCTCTTGAAATGGAGCTTGAAAATCCAATTTTTTTCCCCTCTTAACTGCCTGATGTGAATTGTGATTATTAATGTCTGCCATTATCAGGAATCACATCTCAGTGTTGTCTGTCAGTCATGGCTGGAGTTTGAGATTTGCTGAGGGGCAGGCATCTTTTAGACTCTGATAGGATGAACCTAGCTCAGAGGCAGGCCTGCCCTTCATGCCATGGGACTCTGGAGTGTGGAGAAATGTTGGTGTCCTGAGGGCTTAGGCATGCCAGCCCTGGGTCAGATATCTTCCAAACATTCTCTGCCCATTGCTTCCATCTCCCTTTTTTGGATTTACCCAGAGATACTTTCCCTCCATTGCCTTCCTGAAGAAAATATTAGTGGGGGGCTATAAGTTACCCAGACACTTTTGGGCTATTTGGGTCTCTGAATACTGATACTCTGGGACCATTTGGATGCTTCTTGGCTGCTAAGTCATCATGGGCTTGTCTGAATCATTTCTGAAGGGTCCTAACTTAATGCCTTGTGGTAATCCCTACCAGCAAATGAAACTCCTTCCCCGAGGGACTGGATTTGTGCAAGCAGTGGGGGAAGGGAGGATGTGCAAGAGTTTGGTGCCCAGGGGACATGAGTCAGCTGTGTGGGCTCCAACTTGTGTCTGGGCTGTGGAAAGAGTGTTCCTGTACTAGGACTGAAACTCTCTGGCTATGCTCAACAAACTAGTGTTCATGCCTGATTTAATGCAGGCTAATGGTGTCCCCAGTTGGGTCATTGGTCCCTATATGTGATGCTTTAGTGTTTTAGCAGGTGCTGAGATCTGGTGTGTGTCACTTTTCACTGTGGAGGAAGCCACAGTCCTATATATGTGTCATGTTCCAGATGCATTGATTGCTAGATGTTATTTGAAATGTGATCATAACTTCCTTTCGAAAACAAGTCTCATCCACAGTTCTTTTTTAAACCACACATCCCTTCTAGAGAGAGTGTATGTATGTATGTGTGTGTGTGTATGTATGGGTGTGTGTGTGTGTATGTGTGTGTGTGTGTGGGTGGGTGTGTGTGTATGTGTGTTTGTGTGTGTGTATGGGGGGACTTCCCAGGGTGGTGTGTGGATTCCTCCTTTCACCTTCCAGCTTCTTGAATCTCACCATCTGCAGGGTGATTCCCTCTCTGGTACCCAGGGAGAGCGCCTTGGTCTCAGCAGCAGCTGTTGCCAAGCAACAAGGAAATTCCAAAGTGATGCTGCTCAGTGAACAGAAGGAAGAATCTAGCTTTCATTTCATGCCAGCACTGATACCCCTTTTTGGGATTGTGCCATGCCAGGAGTATATAAGATGGGGGTGTCCCAGTTGGCACCTGAGTGTGGAGTCCCTGATTCTCCTCTGAGGGAATCATTTTCCTGAAACCATCATTTGTTCCTGCAAAGTTCCATTACTTAGGGAAAAAAGCTGGGGCTGAATTATTCATCAAGGTTTGTATTAAAGATCTCTGTCCTCAGCACCATGCAGGCTGCCATAGGGGATAGGAAAAGAGCTGTGAGATGTGATTCCTCCTCTCAGTTAGCTTACTGTGTAATGAGAGGGAAAGGAGCCATGAAACAAAGAATAGTTATGAATCTAACCATGTTGAGTCCTTGGAAGCAGGGGATGGAGCCAGGAGGCTTTTTGTGACTGGTAGCTCTGTGGGGGTGGGGCAAGCTGTTTTCTTGAGCACTACCCCATGAGGAGATCTCTTAATTTACTCATTTGAACTTTTTTTCCCCTCATATTTGCAGTACAGAACCCAGAGAGGCAGTGACCTGTCTAGTGGGCCCTGTCTCAAAATAAAACAAAACAAACGTACAAAACCCAAGAATAAGTAAATAAATAAAAATTGAAAGTTGCAATGTAGAAATCAGGCTTAGCCCAGCTATACCACAGGTGACACCACCTTGGAATGAATGGTGTTCAGATGATGCATTGGTCTTCATTAAAAAACATTGATCACTTGTGAGATGGAAATATTCCCCAACCCTGGGACCAGGAGTGTGTCGGGACAAGATATATCCTTTCTTGTTACTTTACTTTTAGTTAGAAATCATAGCGCATCAACGTCTGCCCCAAAGTACTCGCTCCTTTCATCTTTGAAGGACTGCCGCTGGTTGCATTTTTGTGTTGGGTGTTGTGATAAGCTTGCCTACATGTTGTATCATTGAATTCTTTTAGCTGAGCTGCAAATTATGCAGCATTGTACCCGCTGTTCAGGCAAGAAAACAAAGGAAACTCCCTGCCCAATGTTCTGTAGTTACTGTGTGACTCAGCTGGCTTTACATAACCCACAGTGTACGTGGGTGCTGTGCACCACCCCCCTCTGTTTTACTCTTTTAGTCGTCAGCAATGCCCGAGGTGATGTGAAACACATGAAAATTTGTATGGGGGTAGATTTTTTTTTTTTTTTTTTGTGGTTTGATTCTGAAATTAGAATGCATACCTGTTTACCAAATTCTTACTTAGGTCCAAAATTACATGCTTGCTTTCAGTGCCAGTGTGAGCCTCGACTATTTATTTATTTATTTATTTATTTATTTATTTATTTATTTCGGTGCTTGCAGTCTCTTCAGTGTCTGATGCTTCTGATACACATGAACAGGAGATTAGATGCAGTTTGCTAGTTGGCATTTTTGCAAGTAGTGGCATAGTGCTCTAACTGCAGGTGAGCACCTGCAGGCCCGTGTGCTTTTTCTAGACTGGGCTTACATTCTGTCTTCCTACCTCAAAGAACATCTTAATGTCTTAAGCAAAATCCTCCAAGCTTTAAAACAAAACAACTCCCCCCCCCCCCATGCCTGGGAAGATGTCTCTGTCTGTAGAATGCCTGCTGTGCAAGCCTGAGGATATGATGTGGGTCCTTAGCACCAACATAAAAGCCAGCCAGAGTCACAGGCATGTGACTGTAAGCCTAGAACCTGGGGGTGGGTGAGTGGAGACGGATGAATTCCTGGAGCTCATTGCCCAGCCCATTGAGTTAAACTGCAGATTCAGTGGGGGATCCTGTCTTAAAAAGCAACATGCAGAATGGTTCAGGAGGAATTAACACCTGAGGTTGACCTGGGGCCTCTATACATATACTTGTGGACACACCTCTCCAGCCCCCTCATTCCCCCCACAAACATCTACACATACACTTGTGGATGCACCCCAAACATGTACACATAGATTTATCCCACCCCCATCCTTTGGATCTTTGAAATCTAGTATATTCAATCCTGACCTTTTCTACTAAAACCCACAAACAGCTCGGAAGGCAGCAGGCAGTTGCTCAAGGAGAACTCTCAATTCATCCTAGTCTTTGTGGCTCCACAGATTGGCCAACTTGCAGTTTCAGAACTTAAATTTGTTTTAGTTTATATATATAAAAAATAGGCATTTGTTCTTGAGCAGGGGAAAGCCACTTGGAGGACGAGGCTTGGACGCTCTTTCTGGGTGGGCAACATCTTTCAATTGTTGAAGTAGTTGGCAGCTATCTCCAATAGGTGGGAACCCCTCCTCCCACGACACACACACAACCTGTTTTGGTTCCCAAATGCATTTTGAAATCTCCTACATGAAAATCCTTTCATGGTAAATGTGGCTGGAAATAATGAATTCAACTGCACTGGTGTTAAGTATGTTGGCACTCAGTAATGAAATATTTAGCAGGCAAACCTTTTGAAATTGAGTCACGTTTTCTTTTGAGAAATGTTCACAGAGAGCCCCACATGCTGCATGAATTTGAGACAAAGCTCTCACGGGAATGGGGAGCTGATTCTTGTGTTCTGTTCACAGTGGACCTCCTGGGGCTGCTGAAGTGGAGATCCAACACCAACCTTCTACAGCAGAACTTAAGACAGTTGATGAAGGTGGACGGTGGTGAGGTGGTAAAGGTAATGTGGGCTGTGGAGGAGGCTTGGTCATGTGTTTGTGTCTGATGTCATGCACTGACCCCAGGGGGAATGCAAGATTCTGGTTATACTCTCTCAGCAGTGACATAAGCCTAAATGTGTGCAATGCTGTGGGCTCCTTTCGGAAGGGCTATCTGGCTTTACTTGGAAGATTGGGCTTTGAATCCACTTGCTCCTAGGGACTGTTTCTTCTAGATGAGTCCTCGGTGCTGTGCTGACAATGCTCAGTGGCCTCCTTCAGCCATGACATTGTCTTCTTGTCTGAGTTCTTGGGTTTTCATGACCCATGGTAGTCTAGTTTTTTTTAATCCATGGGGGATGTCTTCTTGTGTGTCCCGGGCTGTTTCACGCTTACCACAGTCATTGTCACTATTCTTATTACTGACTCATGATTACTGATTCTTCAAGATACTCAGAAGTGATCTGGATAGCCAGCTCTGAGCGTGGTAGAAATATGACAAGCACTAAGAGTGTGTCCTGGTCATTTCCTTCCTGTATGGCATTGAGCTCATGCTCTAGCCTTACATTTCACTCTGGAGAAATGTTGGGTATCAATGAGTTTTGTTTGTTTTTGTATGCATTTACTTGAAATATTTTCATTATTTGGGAATTCCATACACTACATTTTGATTGCATTCACCTTCCTTCTCCCCTTAATTCCTCTCAGATTCATCCCCACACTTCCCTACTCCCCTTCCCAACTTCATGGCCTTTTAGAAAAAGAAATTTAAGAACCCATAATTTCCAATTTGTGAAGCTCATAAATGGTTCCCGGGCAGGGAACCATTCACTGGAGCATTGTCAATCCCCCAGGAGCTATATCCTTCAAGAAAACAAACTCTCCCTGAGAAACCATCAACTGTTCACAGCTCCTCATTTAGTGGGAAGGGCTCATCTGGCTTCATCTTGTGCAAGTCTTGTGCAAACAACCACAGCTGCTGTGTATTCATGAGAGAAGCTAGCAGTCCCTTCCAGAAGACACTGTTTCACTTCCTGATCTCTGGCTCTTAACATCTTTCTGCCCCCTCATCCTCGACGATCCCTGAGCTTTGGTGAGGGAATGTGATATAGATGTATGATTTCTAGCTGGCACACCACAAGGACTCTGCAATGTGTAGGTACTGCTTTTATTCAGATCCTCTCCACTCAGTGTCCTTACCTGGAAGCCTGTGTCAGAGCTGTAATTTGAGCTTCTTTTAGCATCAAGTTCTGTCCCTCTTATCCTCTAATAGTTTGTTCTTCTGAAGTCCTACCTTCCTTAGGTTCTTCTTGCATGTTCCATATAAGATGCTTGAATGTCATTCCCTTGTTCAAATATGTTATCATTGTTAGGGTTTTCCTTCTGGGACAGGGGATGCTAAACTGGCCAGTGGCCTATGGTGTTTCATAAATCATTTCTCTACTGCCTGGTTTGGCCTCTTCAGTTCTTCACCTTCTCTGAGAGGAGCATGCAGTAGGGGACTGCCTTATCTCTGGAAAATTAATTACTTAAAATGGCCTTAATTAACCGCCAATGTGCTTAACTTCAGCGTGAATTAATTTGGTTGCACTACTTTCCTCCATCCGTTGTATAACTGCTCTAACATACCCTCGCTAATCTTAAAATTTTAATCATCTCTTCATTCCTGTTCTTGTACCAATGGCTTGGACAACGTTAATTGCATTTTATACTTCCTTGCATTCTAAATCCCCAGTTCAGATGGAAACTGGGTGGATAAATGAACATACTTTAGAAGACTTTATGAAATTTTGTCTTTCATTTTGAAGTCCCCATGTCACAAATTCATTGTACTTCTGTTGATTTGGTGTCATACCAGGAAAAAAAAAATCTAGAATCATCTTGTCCTCTTGACTATTCCTCATAGCTAATATATTAGTATTTCTGAATGTTCATCCATGGAAGTGCTTTTCCTCTCTCTCCCTCCTTCTGGTGGCTGGGCTGGGGTAACCTCACTTGTCCTTACCTGGTGTGCTTGATAGATGGTGGGATATATTCTATTTATTGCATGACTCTCTTATGTATTTTCATGGTGGAGGAGGGACAGCAGTGCTTGATGGATTGAGAAAGGAATTTGTATGCTTAGTGAGAGAAATGGATTTCCATGAAAGTGGAGAATGGAGATGGCTGTTTCATTCTTCACTGGCTACTCAGAGAGTGAGGGGGGAGGGGAAGGTGCTTGTGCCTGACTACCAGTTGCTTTTCCCAGAGAAGGAGGCTCTGCTTTCTCTAGTTCTGACTCTGGGCCATGCATTTGTCTTAATACCATTGGTAGATCTATTGCAGGGAGTTTGCATGAACTGTGGTGAGCCTGGTATGGAGGATCATTGGCCTGTCAGCAGATGGCATGAAGTTTTGACCTTTGCAAAGAAAGATTTATGATCTGAAAATGATGGGGAATGTAACAAGGTTGTACAGACCCAAACAATCAGAGTTGATTAAGATCTTGTCATGTCCAGACTGGAATTCTTGATGGAAAGGGTAGTTTATCTTCTGCCAATTGTATGTCCTATTTTCTCTGTGTAGTAGAGGTTGGGTAGCACAGTGGCACACAGCAAGGACTCATGTCTCTCTGTGCTGCAGCTCTCCTGCCAGTCCTTCTGGATTTTAAATCGCGAAGCACAGGTAGTCTGTGGGAGCCACCACTAGTTTGGGAACAGGTTTCTATTGCCTGCTTTCTCAGTCTTCAAAAGGCTGTGACATCTAAGATCCTCTGTGTCTTCTGCCAGAGCCTGTGATTGCTTGTGTGTAAGTTGGACATCTCAAAATTTGGATCCAGGATCTGATGTAGCCACCTCTTTGATATTCTACGTGTGTGGCACCTACTTCCCCCCTAAAAACAGGTTTTTCTTTTTCTTTCTGCTATGGTTTTTTTTTTTTGTTTTTGAGATGCAGCTTATATACCATAATTTTTCTCCATTTTCTCTGTTCATTTTAATAGCTCTAGTTTATTTATAGGTTTGTATAATCCCTAGTACTCTCTAAGTAGTACAACTTTCTTTATCCACAAAGGAAATTCACAGGTACCAACAGTTACTTCCCAGAGTCTCTGCCACCTATAGTCTAGTTTCTTTTGCTGTGCTTGCCTAGTCTGGACATTTGATGTAATGGAATTGTGCAGTGAGGCTTCTGGGTCTGGCTCCTTTCATGGGGTGCCACGTGCACATTCAGTCAGTGGACAGAGCATCCATGCTGTAGCTTTCCTAGGAACTTCATGTTTCTTTGTGTCCATTGAGGGGATAGATAGAGGTCGATAGAAAACATTCATTCTGTTCGCTCATTCTTCAGCCGACGGACACTTATTTCATTATTATTTTGCATTGTAAACAGTGCCTCTTTAGATCTTTGTGGGCAGGTTTTGTATGATCAGTAGGTTTTCCTTTGTTTGGGATGTGTATCTAGGAATGCTACTGTTCACTTATATTTTTAAGTTTTTGAGGAATTGACAAGCTACTCTCCAAAGCCCCTGTACTATTTTATATTTCTCCTAACAATGAAGGCACAAAGGCTCCCATTTCTCTGCATCTTCTTCCACACTGAGGTGATAGCCTTTATAGTGGGTGTGATGTGGGAGTCTGTGTGGTTTCAGTTTGTGTGTTCCTGATGACTAATGATGAAGCATCTATGCCTTGTTCCTTTTTGTATCATATGCCCTTCGGCATCTCCACCACCAGGGATCTCACCACTTCAGGATAATCTAGTCTAGTCCACTCTACACCTCCTTTAAGGTGTGGGATTTGATGGCTTCTAGGGTAACATACCTTTGAAGTCTAACTTATTTCTTATTTAAATGAATGATGCTTTGCTTTCCTATATGACCGTGTTTCTCTGGGTTTCAATACACTGTACAAACAATACATCAATTACTGGTAATGTATAAACATTTTCCAGTACACTGTTGCATACCTCAGCTGCAGGAACATGCTCAACTCATATTTTCTTCTTGATGGCTCAGCTGGTAGAAGGTCTTTCCCTTTCTCAGCTGAAACCTGATGCTGTATGGCATCTTTTGGTCACTCATGGTCTCTTATACTTGGCTTGTATAGGTGAATCTGATATGTCCTCATGAAAATATGGAAGAGGAGGCTTGCTCTGGGTAGCACTGGCTGACATAGGGTATCTCCTAGCTCTGGTCTTCCTCTGCTTGGCCCAGGGTGACCTTTTGTCTGCAATTCAGTCATGTGAAAATCTTGGCTCACTCACCTGTCACCTTAATAAAATCTTGGAAGTTAGTGTAGTTTAAATACTAATTCATGTATTCATTGAGACAGGGTCCTGGTGGGCCTGGGACTCCTTGTATAGCTCATAACAATCTTCTTGCCCTAGCCTCCCCAGTGTTGGGATTACAGGTATATACCACAATTTCTGGCTATATGTTAAAGCTCTATATCCAGGACTGGGGAAAGGTGAGCAAGTAGAGTCTTGTCAGAGATCGTGGTTGTCTTAGGCTGGGGGAGGTAGGATGCAGGGCCGTGTTCACTGACCTCTTGTGTCTTTGCAGTTCCTGCAGGACACCTTGGATGCTCTCTTCAACATCATGATGGAGAACTCTGAGAGTGAGACGTTTGATACTTTGGTGTTTGATGCTCTGGTAAGGGGGCCTCCCTTTCATCTGCTCAGAGGGTGAGGTGTCCTTTCATGCTGCAGCCTTTGAAGGGGGAAGGGACCCATCACAGTCACCTTGGGAGCCTTTCAGGTGTGGAGTCAATCAAAGGGGAAGCCTGGAGGAGTGCAAAGATCCTTTGAATGTGAAACTATAGCTATGCTAATACCCTTGTGAGGGTAGGGAGATACAAACCTGAGAATGGCCTCTTCAGGGACATTCCCAGCTCATTTCCTCAAGTCACAGAGGAAGATTCCAGAATGGTTTTCCTGTGCCACCCCTGATACTGTTTTGGTTATATCGACAGGTCTTTATCATTGGACTAATCGCGGATAGGAAATTTCAGCATTTTAATCCTGTTTTGGAGACTTACATCAAGAAACACTTCAGTGCAACCTTGGCTTACACGTGAGTTCTGTATCATTTGAAAACCAGTGCTGCCTCCTGTGATGTTTGCAATCAATTTCCTCTGTGACTTTGGCCTATGACCACACATTTCTCCACTTGAAACTTTGGGTTTACTGGCATACTTGGTGTTCTTGTTTCCTTCTTAGCAGACCTGAGCATCTTGTTGAAAGAGATATGTGACAAGTAAGTCTCACGTCCTAGAATGAATCTTCGTTCTTTTCCATACCTTCCATTTATCTTTGAAAATTTGTGCTTATGTTCTATGAAGCTGATCTATGGATGCATGCTACCTGGCATCTAATGAGTGAATAAATGAATGTGTGTCTGTTTTGAGGTTATTAACCCTTTATTGTATATAAAATGAAGTTTTGTATTCTTCAACCAGTCTCCTTACTCCTTAAAGTATATCTTCCCCTTTCTTATACCGGTTTTAGCTATTAAACCACACACACACACACACACACACACACACACACACACACACACACACACAAACACACACACACACACCCATCTGGGCTGCTTGTCTGAGCACACAGGGCATGTACAGGGCCTAGGTCAGCAAGGTAGTTTCCCTCCTGTTTGGTAACACAATTCTGGATGCAGGATTCATGAGCTTAAGTGATAGCTCTGTCCTTTATGAATTGTGTGTTTAAGGCAATTTACTTAACCTCTCTGGCCTTCAGCATTTTTATCTATAAAAATATATTATTGTAGTGTTGTTTGAGAATTTTAATGAGTTATTAGAGTGCTCAGAATAAATCCTGATGCTTGGACAGCAAGCACTAAGCAGTTGCTGGGTTTCATTGTTCTCTCATGTTGGGATTTAATGACATGTATTGAAATTTTATGTTGTGTAATTGCATAGAAAATTTAAAAAAAGAAGCCACACATACTTTTTCTTTAAGAACAACACACTTAAAAGTTAGACTCAATGAGTCCAAGGTCCCATCTATGGTTCTGAGGAGACTTTGTAAAAGCCTGTTTTCTCTGCCTGTGTGTACTGTGAGCTCAAGGCCCAGGGATACCAGCCTATGAAGTCAGTGGGTTGAACAACCCAGTGTTGTGCTGCAGTTCCCTTTCTGTCCCATCCTGCCTGTTTATGACAGGTGATGGGTAGAGTCACTGGCAAGGGTAGGAGCTGCAGAACCTTCTGAAGCCTGCAGAGCAAGCTGTGATGAACCCTTTATTAGTCTTCTATTAATGTTTATTTAAAGCTCTCTGTTCGCCTTGTGGCTTGGCATATTAGACACTTTCTTATAGACTCTTTAGGAAAGAAGTAGTTGGGAGTTGGGGCACCTACTTGACCTGGTGACCAAGCATGACTCTTCAGGGATTGTGGATGTGGCCAGCAGGGTCTCCATATGTAAGCCAATTTCAAAGTTTTCCTTCTAAGCATGACTAATCAGCTGTTTTGAGTAGCCTTCCTACTTTAACCCAGGAATTGAAAGAAGTGCTGAGTTCTACCTGTAGTATTGACTGCCTGTTGTGGGTCTCAGTCTTGCTGTGCTGGGATGTTGAGCGAACATCCTCACAGGGTTTCTCACAGGTGGAAAAGATAAAAATGGAGGAGTTTAGGGACTGAGATATAGCTCAGTAGAGTGAGTGGTTGCCTAGAATGCTTAAAGCCCTTAGTTCCAGTCTCAGCATCTTATAGCCTGGTTGTGATGGGTCTTACCTGTAATCCCAGCACTCAGAGGGTAGAGTCTGGAAGATCATAAGTTCAGCCTCCTAGGCTGCATGAGTATGAAGTCAGCCTGGGCCATATGAGACTCCATTTGAGAAAAAGTGTGTGTGTGTGTGTGTGTGTGTGTGTGTGTGTGTGTGTGTGTGTGTGTGTGTGTGTACATGCATGCATGCATGTGTGTCAGTACCCTCAGGCTGGGTGTTGGTGGCCCACGCCTTTAATCCCAGCACTTGGGAGGCAGAGGGCAGGCGGATCTCTGTGAGTCCGAGGCCAGCCTGGTCTACAAGAGCTAGTTCCAAGACAGCCTCCAAAGCACAGAGAAACCCTGTCTTGGAAAACCAAGAAAAAAAAATCAGTACCCTCCAGTTGTGTCTGCTGAAAAGATGTGTGTTTTGGAAAATAGATATTTGTAGTATGTTTTGATAAACTGCCAATCCATTGCTTTCTACATTAACTGCAATAGTTAGTTAAAAAAAAAAAAAAAGAGGAACCTGTATTTAAGTAATTTAATAAAAAATAGGACCCCACAAGTTTGACACTTAAAACAGTAAAACCTTTTCTCCCTAAGAGTTTTGAAAGAAAATCTTAAATTATGTGTGCATATATCTGTATTTGTTTGGGTATGTGCATGTAAGTGCAGAGGATTGTGGAGTCCAGAAAAGGGTGCCAGTTCTTCTGGAGCTGGAGTGACAGGCAGTTGTAAGCTGACTGACATGGGTGCTAGGGTTCCTCTGGAAGAGCAGGACGTGATCCTAACCACTGAGACGACTCACCAGCCTCTAAAACAGTAAAATCTTGATTCTAGGAAAACCTGGGTTCCTCAGTAATGAATCCAAGTATTCAAACTTATAAACACCAAACTTTGAAACACCAAAGGAGTAAGTTTTGTCTTATGATTCGGAGCACCACTAAAGGCTGCCCCTGCATGTTTGTTTTTCAGTTCCATTCTGGTTGCTTAGAATGTTCTGTCAGTCATTTGAAACTCTGGCACTATGTATTGTCAAAGGTGGATCTCCATCCATCGTGTTCCCTGATAAAATCAACAGATCTCATTATGAATTCCTGGCCTGGAACTCACTTTGTAGATCAAGATGGCCTCTAAGTCACAGGTTCGCTTACCTCACCTCCCAAGTGTTGGGGTTGAAGGCTTCTTCCACTGTGTGGAACAAATGTTGCCATCTTTTGTCTTTCTTTCTAATGAGCTGCATAAGCAGAGAGAAGGCTCACAACAGCATTGACAGACAGTTCATGGACGCTGGGAGACCCACTGTGACTGTAACAAGTACTGATCCAAATGATATAAGAAGGAGGTGTTCCTGTGAGTTCTACTCTTCATGTAACCTGCATGCCATGGCTCTTTTCCGTCCTGTGCTCTGGGTCTCATGGGACTGCCATGGGCTCCCTGTTGGCATAACTGAGGCTCCATTTGCTCTGCTCCTTTCTGTCTCCCATCAGAGGTTTTGATCTTCGGGCAGTTATGAAATGGCCTTGCAGATTTATTTTCTGGGTTTAGGCCATTTTCTTTGTGAATCATTAGTATTACTATTCCATTCTTTTCTTTGATTAATGAGTTGGAAGGATTCCCATTGCCAAAGTGTGTGCTATGGATTTTTGTTGTTGTTGAGTGGGGATATGAATAGAGGTGAAAACAAAAGGTGTTGTGATGCTTGGGAAAATAACAGGGCTGAGTGAGACAGACTTTTGTCAGGATTTTAGCTGTGTCCTAGGCATAAAGGGCTACAAGGAGTGGCCTCTGCTTTGGGGCATTTCCCAGTGAACAGGTCAGTGTCAGACCCCATGGGAGATGGATCCTGCAGGGCAGCCTTCAGAACACACTCAGTTCACACCGTGAAGTTAGCTCCCCTGTAGGGCTGTGGTGCTGTAACATGATCAGGTCATAAATGCCTCTCATCCTTCTTAACTTAGTTTTTCTACAACTCTCATTGTATGCAGGGGGCTGGAGGATGTCTCAGGGAGTAAGGTCACTGGCTGCTCTTTCAGAAGATATGATTTTGACTTGTATTGCCCACGTGGTAGCTCCTGACAGTCTTTAACTCTAGTTCAAGGGAATGTGATGCCTTCTTCTGGACTCCGATGGTGCCAGACACACATGTTGTCCACAGACGTACATGCAAACAAAAGAACAATACATATTGAGTAAAATTTTTTAAAAATTTAAAAAAGATCTTAAAAAATTGTGTGTGTGTGTTGTGTGTGTATCTACATATGTCTGTGTAGGTGTGTATAGCTGCATAGAAAAAAATGTTGATGTCAGGGGTTCTCCTTCACTCTCCATCTTATTTTTTGAGGCAGGGCCTCTCAATGAACCTGGAGCTCAGTGATTTGGTTACACTCACTGGCCTGTGAATCCCACAAACCCTCATGTCTCTGCTTTGCCAGTGCTGGTATTATGAGCATATGCTACTACAATGCCTGGCTTTTTTGAGTGGGTACTGGGGATTGAACTTAGGTCCTCTTGCTTGTGTGGCAAGCACTTTGCCCACTGATCCATCACTGCAAACCATACACTGTGATACTTTTGCTTGTTTAAAAATTCACAAGTTGGCCTGGAGAAATGGCTCAATGATTATACATACTTTGTACTCTTTCAAGGGACTTGAATTTCATTCCTAGCATCACATGGTGGCTTACAACTGCCCATAACTCCAGGTCCCTGGGTTCTGATGCCACTGTGGGCATCTGCACACACATGGTATATATATATATATATATATATATATCAGGGACATACACATAAAATAAATCTTTAAAGATAATAAAATTTAAGAGCTTTTCAATCACTACAATAATGTGCATGTAAGAAGAGTCATTTTATGAATTCAGCTTCCCCCACCCTTGTAACCATTGCTGGGGACAAGTTATCTGTAGCACGTTGCTGTCCCACACCCAAGGAAGACCCCTCTTGCTCTCAAAGAAGCAGCTGTGTTCTCATTTCTATATCACAACTCTGTTTTGTCTTCTCATGGACATCATCATGTACTCTTGTGCACCTGGCCTCTTTCCTTCACCATAATGCTTTTGAGATTTGTCCATATTGTTATATGTGTCATTGTTTGAAATGGGTCCTTTTATATTTCTTAGTCATAATTGACTCTTCTGTGATTTGTTTAGTCATTATTGATAGATGGGCTGGGGACTACTAGTTTCCTGCTATTCTGTATAAGGCTGAGAAGCTTTTTGTGTTTTATAGATACAGTATTCATTTCTCTTGGGTGAATACTGGGGACTAAATTTGCTGGACCAGAGAGATACATAGGTAGTTTATGAAACTACTGTGTCATTTTGTATTTCCTTCAACAACTAAGAAACACCCCTTTAGGCTGGGCGGTGGTGGCACACACTTTTAGTCCCAGCACTCAGTAAGCAGAGGCAGGCAGATTTCTGTGAGTTTGAGACTAGCCTGGTCTACAAGAGCTAGTTACAGGGCAGCCTCCAAAGCTACAGAGAAACCCTGTCTCGAAAAAAACAAAAAAACAAAAGAAATATCTCTTTGTGTAGATTGGCAAGGTATGGCCATCGTTGCAGCTGAGTTGGTAGCATGCGCAGAAGCCATGGCTTGAGTTTTATAAACTAGGTCTGATAGCAAACATCTGGAATCTTAGCACTCTGGAGGTGAGGCTGGAGGAGCAGAGGTCGAAGGTCATACTCAGCTGCATAGCAGCAAGTTCACTGTCAGCCTGGGCCACAGGAGACCTTGTCATATAAATGAAACAAACAGAACACCACCACCAATCCTCATGAGTGGAGATAGACCCTCCTGTCCAGCCTCTCCGTTTCTGTGTAACAGCTGAACAATGTTCTAGTCTCTTTGCTAATTAAGTTATTTACACAGCTCAGGTGATAGGCATCTTATTGCTTATGTTTTACCACTGCAGCAAAGCTGAGTTTCATAATTTAATTATTTACACAGTTCAGGTGATAGGCATTGCTTTGCTTATATATTTTACAACTGCAGACAAAGCTGAGGCAAATGTTACTGAATACATCTGTAATTGCTGCTGTACAAAATTTCCTCAAAGGGTAGTTGCTGATGTCAAAGGATTTGAACATTTTTGCTTGTACCTGGTGTCAGTGATAAAATACCCTGATATATTTGTTGGTTTCTCTCCAAAGAGTATTGTTCCAGTTTATCCACCCAATATTTTACTTATTTGTTTCTATAACTGCATTATTTACTCCCCACCCCCACACGTGGGCTGGGGATTGGATGTGGGTCTGGCAGCTGCTGCCATCATCCTCCTACTGAGATGCTTTCTTGTCCCTGTCTTATTTTAATTTACATGTATTTGTTGATTAATGAAGTTGATTGCTTTTCAAATATTATATTTCTCAAATTTTGTTTGTTTTAAATTGAACTTCTCCCATACCCTGAAGTTCTGAATGAACCTCTGGTTATATGTAATGCTGTAAAAAAAAGAAAAAAAAAAAAGAACTTCTAAAGCTTTTCCCTATGCTAACAGTTTTGTAAAAAGGTATCTATGGCTGGGCGTGATGGCACATGGCTTTCATTCTAGTCTTCTTGAGACCAACCTGGTCTATCAGTGATTCTCTACCTTCGAATGCTTCAACCCTTTAATACCAGCCCTACCTGGTCTATCAGTGATTCTCTACCTTCGAATGCTTCAACCCTTTAATACAGTTCCTCATGTTATGGTGACCTCCAACCATAAAATTATTTTATTGCTACTTCACAACTGTATTGCCACTTTTATGAATGATAGTATAATATCTGGTAATGTGCAACCCCCAAAAGGAGTTGAGAGGGGGTCGAGACCCATAGAGAACTCCTTAATAGTCCCAGGGCAGTCAGGACTACAGAGAGAGAGAATCTCTCAAAAAACAAAAACAAACAGGCAACTTCATCCCACCCCAATAAAAACTGCCAAAACCTTAAGAAATTATGAATTAGTCTCCTAATGAACAATTCATTTGTATTTATTTCCCATATTTATGTCTGTCATGGGATGGGTAATTGGAGAAATAATTCTGATGAATTTGTATGTGCTGTGATTTGTGTAAACCTTTTCATGTTAGTGAGTTGTTTCATGCTCCCAGTTTATAAATATGACCATGAGAACTACAGTTCTTATTTATGTTTTTTAAAATTAAATGTTTTGGGGGAATTCAATTATTAAGAAATAGAACATCTATTCTAAACATCTCATTTTCACCCTCTTAATAGGGCCCATTAGGAAATTTATTTAAAATGTTGTGCTGTTTATTTGGAAATTGTCATCTAACAATTTCCTATTTAGTATAAGGCCTTTAGTGGCAGCAAATAAACTAGCCTGCAGAGAGGTGGCTGTTGGTCCTGAGTGAGAACCCTTTAATATTCTCACACTACCAGGAAGAAATGTTATCAGGTGCTTTGTCTGATTAGAAAACCTTTATGAATAATGCATATATACATAAGTGGAAACCAAAGTAAAAGTAAGTCTCCTGTAAGCTTTGCTCTCAGTTAAGTGTCAAGTTGGGATTTCTGAACTCTTGATTGACGTGTGTTTTCCTTGGTACTAGGAAGCTGACCAAGGTGTTACGGACCTACGTAGCCAGTGCTGAGAAGCCAGGAGTCAATGAGCAGCTGTACAAAGCCATAAAAGCCTTGGAGTACATCTTCAAGTTCATTGTGCGCTCACGGGTATTGTTCAACCAGTAAGTGTTCAGCCAAGGCCAGAGCAAATCCTCACTTCTCTCCTCTTTTTCCTTCCCTCTTTCTCTCCCCTTTGCCCTCTTGTCTGTCCTTGGCTCCTTCTCCTTCCTCTTCTTGCCTTCTGCTTGTGACCAAACACTAATAGATAAATGGTAAGTTTGTTTGCCCACAGTGACCCTGACTGCTTCCAAGCTGTTCCTGCACAGTTTGGGCTATTCAGAGGTTCAGAAGTGTGCCTGTGAGCCAAGCACTGTCTGCTTCAAGTGTTTGTAATGCTTCTCACGCAGTGCTGGGCATCCACCAAGGGCTTGGCAGTACTTTTCAGTATATCTTCATAGAGCAAAAAGCCCCACAAGAGCAAACAAAAATGAAACAAGCAATGAGAAGGAAAAGCCAAAATCAAGTTGTACTGCCTCACGTGGGAGCACTGTGGGGTCCAGGCCACTTTTCTCCTTCCAGTAGAATGCTGTGTTTCTACAGATACTAGAGCACCCTCGGGCACTCTGCCTAGTGATTGGTTCGTGGCTGCTGACCACCATTAGAGTTAATTTTCAACTTGAAAACAAGTTGGGATATTTATGACTTGATTATTTTAGAGAACGTTGGTCATTTATAAATTGGTATTTCTAACCTCCACAGTTGTGCTATTAAAATGAAATCACTTGGCTGTCTCCCCCAGTATCTCACACTGGCAAAAGAGATAGGGAGTAGGGTATGGAATGAACTGTGCTTATTTTTGGGGGTGCCATTTTGTGAGTGTTGTAAACACATGGTGGCTGATCTAGATTAATTGATGTTCTTGTGGTAGGTTTCTACACAGAGATAGGCTTTGTGAAGCCATCTATCAGAGAACATGCTGCCTTTGCAGAGCATGGGGCACACTGCCTGTGATCAGTGAAAACTCGACATAAAATTCATTGGACCCCTATTAATTCCTGTTTCCTCTAAGCTTCAACTTTGCTTGCTTGAAGCAGAAATGTTCATAAGTACCGAGAAGAAAGGGAAAGAAAGCAGAAAGAACACCACAGCAGCATGCTGCTGACTGTGTAGAACAGTAGTGGTCAGAGAAGTTGAAACTACTAGTGACTGGGCAGCTCTCCCTGTCACGGGCCTGAGTGTGCTCCATTCTCTCTGGGGTCTCCATAAATCCGTAGTCATATGAAGACCCAAGTTTGGAGGCATGTGGCTTTGTCCTTGATCGGTATCTCAAAGGCATGTTCTTTCTTTTCACTTATTGGAGAGTAGCACGGCTTTCATGCACGGCAGTTTGTGTAGATAGATTGTCTCTTTTGGGGTGTTTAAGCTGTCTGTTATTTTCTCGCTGTTAAGTGAGAATGAGGACAAGGTATAGTTGCCTGTGCTTTCCTCTATATTGTCTGGTTTTATTTCAGTCATGCTGATTATGCGACCATGAACTCTGTGGCCTCTGGAATCTTCATTTTTAATTACTTTTCTCATTATGCCCCTCCCCTCGCTGCACATGTCACAACTGCACATGCGTACATGACATGTAGAGGCCAGTGAACAGCTTGCAGGAATTGGTTCTCTCCTTCTGCCGTGTGGTTTCTGGGAATTACTCAGGTGGCCACCCTTGGCAGCAAGCACTCTTATCAACTGAGCCATCTTGCCAGCCCGCCTTTTTCCCATTTCCTTAAGTCCACTCATTACAATGACGTAGGAAAATGAGTTGGAAAGAAGACCCATAATAGTGAAGCGATGTGGCTTTTTATCATGGTTTACCTGGAAATTTTTAATCTTGCCCAGTGTCTGTTCCATATGCTACTCAGTAGGGGATTTGATGATGTGTGTGCAGCCTCAGTGAGGATTTTCTCATTCCTCAGAGATTTGTAACAACAGCCTGTTGTCATAGCCAATGACTCTTTTAGTCAACAGAAATGGCCATGGTTACTCAGTCCACTGAGGTCACCTGCATGAACCAGCAGCAAATCCTCTGCCTCTCACTTTAGATTTTTTAAGTGTGGAATAGGAACCAAGAATTTCAGGCATAAGATCTTAGAACTATGGTGTCTCCAGTTTGTTTAGTTTGATCAGTCTTGTGGTGGTCAGCAGTATGATTGGCTGCTTGTCAACATTAAAGATCAACTTAGATGGGTTCACCGGGTGAGACGATTGTCACCCACGCACTCTGTGTACAGCTTGTAGCCTGGAAAAGACTTTGGCTCACATTCACTTGCTCCATGGTGTCCTCATGTTCTCAGCATCCAGTATCTTTCTATCCTATTATCTTAGAGACTGCCTCTTTTTCTCTGCCTTTCCTGGCATGGTACCTACAGTTTGAGCAGTGACTTCAGGCTATAGGGTATGCAGCTATGGCAGGCTCTCTTAGAAAGAGCCTCTTCCAGCTTTCAAAATGCTGTGTGTTATTCTCATCTCATTGACAGAATGTTGTCATATAACAACATCCCTAGCTGTAAGGGAGAGAGATGACAAACTGAGTTGACAGAATCAGAGTTGCCACAATAACTATATATTGGGCAGATAGTCTCCACTCTCGTTCTCATACCTTCAACCTGGAATATCTGTTATTTTGAATACTTCATTGTTTCCCCACCTCATCTCAGGTTCTGTATTATCTTTATGTAGGCTCCGTGGATGTTTTCTTTCTCATGAGAAACTCTTGTCACCAGCATCTTAACAATTTTAAGTCATCGGAATACTAGATGACCAACAGATGGGTGGACTTGTAGAAAACACACAGCTGTCTGTAGGAATGTGATACTAGAATACAACTTCTGTTCTGGTCTCTTCTGACAGATACTGACACATATCCTACTGGGTCACTGTTGTGAGCCCCACATGGGACATCTCACATGGGAAGTGAGTCTATACGGAAGGGGTGCTGCGGCATCCTATTCCCCCCATCCTTCCCCTTCCCTTCCTTCTACCTGGGAATCATAGAACCTGGCTTCAGGCTCTTGTGATGAATGCCTTCCATCCTCAAAAGGTGTAAGAAGAGGCTGCTTTCAGCTCTATGGGCTCTGATTCTACCATGATTCCACCATGTCTCTGGTGCTGGGGCCTGAACTTTCCTTGGAGTTGCCACCTTGCAGTGTCCTCTCTATCCATGTTATTATAACAGTGCCCAGTAGTCTATCGAAGTGTCCTCCTGAACTGTGTGCCCCAATTAAAATCTAACACCGAACCTTGAGTATGACACAGGAAGTGCCCTTTAAGCGCTCAGAATTCTGTCTTTTCTGTATTGGGCCCTCAGCCTGCTTCTCTGCCATCTAAGTCTTAACAAGAGCCAGGATCATCCCTGTTGTTTTTTTTAACTAAGTCTCTATTGTTCTGTTTTTACCAATAAAGACTCAGGAACCAGATGCTGGGGTGAAAACCTGCCAGTTCAGAGAGACAGAGAAAGCACCCAGCTGCTTCTTCCTCTGCCATCAGCCTGGAAGAGAGTTTTCTCCCATGCAATCTCAAAAAAACTCCTCTGACTGGATGTCCCTCCCTTCTACTTCTGTGCATGTTTCTCTCTGTCCTTCTGACTGCCTCTGACACTATGGCTTTTCCTATCAGCTGGTTGCTTGCTCTCTCTTGACCTGTGGTTGACTTTATTTAATCCTGTTCAGAATATTCAAACAGAAAGCTGTTGGATTAAAGGTATGTGCTAGGGCTGAGACACATCAACCTAGGAGCAAGTTTTTCCAGTAAATAACACAATCTTGGGGTTCACAGTGTGATTAAATATCCTGCAGCACCCCGAATGAATTTCTTCACTAGAATAACATGCTCTTTCTAAGAGCCAAGATTGTCCAGGGCACAAATCAAATGTCAGTTATCTCTAAGAGGCCGTGAAGTCTTTTTTCATGGCCTTCCTTACTGACATATGGGGGTCACGGTGATGTCCTGATCACCCTTGTCTTTCTCCTTTCATTTGTCCCTTTCTCCTTTGTTTGTTGTTCTACACATATGTAATGAACTTAAATTCTGTGTGTATATCACCATTTTCATGTCCTTTTCAAACCCTTCCATGTGTTTCGAAGTGTGAATTTTAGCTGCCTACTAGGATTTTGGAGGGATGAAAGAACACGTGCATCCTTCAGAATGCAAAGTACACTTGTAGCCTCAGTGTGTGGATACAAGAAATACCTTTGTGTATGTTTTTGACTGAAGACTGTGATATGTTTTGGTATCTTGTGGATTCCAGGGACTGAAAAAACTCATGTCCTTCCTGCCAGAGCTGCCTCTGCCAGAGGCATCATGTCATCATGTCATGTCCTTCCACAACATTTTGAGTCCTGCCCCATTCCTGTTTTGAATGTGTTACTTGAAGAGGCAAGAGTCTGGTTTCCCAGGCAGATTTCTGCAGTGCTTGATCATCAGAAGTTCTAAGCAGGTCTCATGTGGGATATTTCAGCAGTGGGGAGAAAAACAAAGATGAATTCTCATTTTCTTACCTGCAGTACACTCATTATCTTGGGAGAAAAGCAGTTGTGCTTACAGCTGGTATTGACAAGTGTTTTTTTTTTTGTTGTTGTTGTTGGAATAAACTTTTGAGGTCTATTCTATTTCTTCTTTCAAAATGATCTGCTGTGTTTTCAAGTATAATATAGTTGCTGTGTTAAATTCTGGGATAATTGTGAGTAATTATTCTTCTGAAGAACAAAAAGATGAAACTCGAGACACTGATGCTTACCGTGTCTCATGGACTTTCTGTGGTACAGTCCCATCCCATATTCTTTGTTCTAGTTAGGACGCTCTTTTTGTCATGAAATGAGAACAGCAGTTCTGACCCAAACAAATTTGGTTCATGGTGAACTGAGGGAAAGATTCCAGGCAACCAGAGGCTCCTCTTGCTGTGTGTTTTCTGCCTTCTGTGTGGGTGGGCCATATTAACTAGAAAGCCCAAAGATGACATCCTGCATCAGACCTGCTCAATGCTGGCCTCTGTCTAGCTATGGCTTGGCACCTTGACTGCCTTTTGTGTGCTGTAGTTTCTGCTTGTCATCTGGTGTTAAGCTTTGTGAATAATTAGTTA